TACCGTTCTAGAAAACTTTCTAAATATTTAATTTTTATATTAATGTTTAAGTTTTAACTATATTTACTAATCATTTTTTTTTTAAGCAATCAGGTTAGTATTTATATTACATAGCTTATATATATATTATATATTTAAATTTACCGGTATATTTTATTAATTTTTGCAATAGAATTTTATTAAAAAAATAATGCCCGAAACCTTGGTTTGGTGTACTTGCAGTGTTTGCTCATTAAGTAAAGATGGCGGCTCTTGGAAACTAAAAAGTACTAGAACTCGGCATCAGAGACGTGATAGGTGAAATGTGCGAAGACCTAGTAATGATTTAGAATTACAAAATAATATTCAAAATCAAGCAGCATACGGTTTTTACCAAAAAACATTTGAGCCTGAACTTTATAATCTAGAAAATGATGGTGAATTTGAGGATTGGTCGGGAAATAATAATAGGTTAGGAAATGTCAACGGACTTGAGAATAGGTTCGAATGTGCTAATGAATTTGAAAATGAATTTGAAAATGGATTGGACTGTGATGATGAATTCGAAGGTATCGATGAATTTGAAAATGGGTTAGACTGTGATGATGAATTCGAAGGTGTTGATGAATTTGAAAATGGGTTAGACCGTAATGATGAATTCGAAGGTATTGATGAATTTGAGAATGAGATGGAATGTGATGAATTTGAAGGTATTAATGAATCTGAGAATGGTTCAGTAATTGATGAATTTGAGAATTGGTCAGAAAGCGATAGTAGCGATTCAAGTATAGCTAGTTCAACTTTAATAGATAATGAAGGTAATTATACCTACTCTGTTACAAAAAAAAAGTTATGAATTTGTATTTTTTATTTAATTATTTTTTTTTTTAACACATTATATTTTCTATTAAATTTTAGAGAATATCCCTTTTATATCCTCTGAACTTGCCGCAGTAATTCGACTTCTTAAGGTTAAAGCACAGAATAACCTTACCGATGAAGCCTTTAGTGAAATTATGAAAGCCGTAATAACAAACCCGATGAGCTTATATATGATCAAAAAAAAATTATCATCATTAGTTTCATTTAAACCTGTGTGGATAGACATGTGCATTAATACTTGTTGTGCTTATACTGGTAATTATAGCAGTCTTACTGAATG